TTTTGAAAATTCAAATCTGAATATTTAGGAATTAAAAATTTTCTCGTTCGACATGATTATAATTTTTTTTTTTTTTTGTTATGATAAAAAGAATTGGCAAAAAATTCTTGCAAATTTTCTACCTTTCTTAAATACAAAGAAGGACAATGTAGTGGAACAATCCGATTGATTCATTCTAATTCTTTCAAAGCTCGTTTGCAATATTTCCAATTATGTTGCAAAACAATTAAAAAAATCTTTAAAAAAAGACAATATATAAATTATATTCTATTCTATATTTTTGGTTGGTTCTTTAAAGGTTGTCGTGTGTTTCTTTATGTCAATATCACCAACAACCAATATAATACTAACGGATTCGGCCATTGTATATAGCAAGCCATATGAGGGATTCGCAATATTGGTTGAAGGTGGCTGAATTCATACAGCTGATACTACTAATTTCTTACAGGCCAATTATTCATCATTTGTTGTCTCGAAGTACGCATTTTATTGCCTGTTCATTAAAATTACGCATTTCATCTTTTGAATAATGTAGCGTTTTAGCTTAATTATCAGATAAAGTTTAACAATCGTATTACTCCTTTTCATTAGATTGTTTCATTAAAGTTAGGTCACGCCCACGACCGGTCGTGGTCCGATATCGGTCGGTCAACGGCTACCGATTGATTTTGACCTATTTTGGTAAACTAATAATTATTAAAAATAATGCTGCGCCAATAAATATTTTGAGAGTGTAAATCAAAATTCTTTTATATCATCCTGCGATAATTAACTACTATCAAAAGTTACAAGACAGCCGATATATCGAGACTCTTCCAAGTACATTTATAAAGGATTAGTAATACATATTTTTATGGGTAAAAAAAATTGTGCCTGCCATTATCGGAACGATCCGAACGTAGCTATAATGATTTTTTTCAAAAAAATTCAATACTGAGTTTTTCCATAAAATCCCATTCCAACCCACTTCTATTCCAAGTCCCATTACAAATCTCATGTGTTTAAATTAAAAAAAAAAATTTAGTATTTGACCTTTAAACATTTTTTGGGAAAAAAAAATTGCTTTTTAAGTAACACTTCAGGAACTCGAAATATATAATTAATGTCGACAAGAATTTTAGCTGGTATTATATAATAGAATGTTATTGAACGGGACGTTAAAATATCGTTCGAAGACCGATATAGACTCGTTCAATAATTCCGTTTAATTGTTAAAATTATGTCGGATGATATTAAAATAATAATCATTATTTCTAGAAATGGGATATGGGAATGGGATTTATATCATTTCTTCCCTTTCGATGTTTCAACTTCAACCA